TTGGCCAGCATGGTCGGCCAGTGCGTCGCCGAGGTGGAGGCAGAGGAGCGAGAGAAGCTGGGGTGCTGCCGCCCTCTCCTCCAGGAGGACGAGGGCGCTGATTGTGGCGCCGCGGCGCGCGACGAAGCTGCAGCAGGCGTCCGCCCCGAGAAGGGCCCTCGTGACTGCGGCCGTGAAGAAGCGGAAACTCTACCGCCAGCTCACGGGAACGGAGGTGCCGTGGTTCCCGTACGACAACGACATCGAGCTCCTTCAGGAGCTCTGCCACGAGGCGGGGAAGCCCAGGTGGGTGCACTTCGGCACGCCTGCGGGCGGCGCAGGCATGCACGGCTGCATCGAGAGCGGTTGCAGCGTGTTGGCCTTGACTTCCGACGACCACCACGCGAAGGTGCTCGAGCCGTTTCTCGTGGAGCGCGCCGTCGAGGCCATGCTCGAGGGCAGCGCCATCATGGTGCTCGTGAGCGAGGACCTGCTTGCACGCTCTGCGCAGTTGCGCCTGGCAAAGGAGGGCCCGAAGGAGGACCCGAAGGATGGGAAGAAGGAGGGCGACAACAAGAAGGAGGGCAAGAAGAAGGAGGACAATAAGAAGGACAAGAAGGATAATAAGAATAAGGACACAACGGATGGTAATAATACGGGTAAGAAGGGCAAGAAGCGCGACGCCGACGCGCCCTCGACCTCAGACTCCTCGTCCTCAGACGACTCCTCGGCCTCGAAGAAGAAGAAGCCGAAGACAGGCTGAAACAGAGCACAGGCTTGAGCACAGGCTACAACAGAATTCGGCAGCTCCGACGCAGGAGCCAGCCCGCGCGCTCCTGTTCCCGTGCGTGGAGCTGCCACTTGTTTGATTTTGGATTGCAACAGTCGCGCGCTGGCGGCGTCGCCTCCGTTCTCGTAATGGGACGCGCGCCACATTCTGGCCTGTGCAGTACACGGCACCTTGCGTACATATAGGAACATAGTCCTCCGTCATCCCTTCGTCGCCATCCGTCGCACTTGGCCCACGGCGCAGGCAATGCGCAGAGTCAGGGTGCTTGCCTTTCCAAAGGGCACCCTTGTTGCATCCTACGCTTTCCGCTCCGAAGCTGGGGAGCTGGATAAACAACATATACCATGCCGCCAAGGCCCTTGCATCCTTACGGCGCTCTGTAGGGGCGGGCCAGGATGGGGATGCAGCAGGGTAGGGGAGACACGGGAAGCAACGCTCCGAGGAGCGGCCGCAGGGGGAGGAGGAGGACGGAGGAGGGGCCCGCAGGCGTCTCGGTTCACTGAAACTTAGCGGGCCCGCAGGGACGACACTGCCGTCGGCGGGCCTCCGCGGCGATGGCTGCCTCGGGCGGCAGCGGTCGCGACAAGAACAAGGTTCTCTTCTATAAGTGGGGCCGTTACCTGCAGGGTGACGGGTCGAACAACGACACGATCAACAAGAAGCTGAGGGGGACCTGCAGCAATAGCATGGCCAGGGTGGCAAAAGGGGCCCCGACCGCAAAAGTGACGCTGGAGAAGGTAACGAAGAACAAATGTGTGTTGACGTGGCCAAAGCCAGTTTCGCATGACACCTGCACGCGGCTCCTCAAGATTGCGCTGGGCGCCAACTGGAAAGACTATGTGAGCAAGCCCCAGGGAGATCTAACATACTATGTTAGAGCTCACCTCTCCTCCATCCGCCCCTCTCCGCAGGTGGTGCTCGCCGACCTCGGCTGTGTGGAGATGGCGGGTCCCCACGGCCGGTAGAAGAGGAAACTGCGCTACAGCCCGACCTGCGATGACCTCGGAGTACGCGCGCCCGCTTACAGAGCGGTAGACGTTTTCTTGGGGAACCAGCGCTACTCAGAGGACCTGGCCATGTGGTCCATCGGGTGCCTGATGGCGGAGTTGCACACGCGCAAGGTGTTGTTCCAACCACCAGGGCCTTGCGGCGCGCTCTGGCATCCTCCAGGGGGGCACCCGAAAGACTTCGTGGTTTTCTGCAGGGAGGTCTTGGGGGTCCCAGGCAAGGAGCCAGGGTCGGGGGGCTTCTACAATAACGAGGGCCAGGAACCCGCCCCGTGGCTGGACAACCTGCCTTTCTTTGAGAAGTGGTTCAAGCGGTCGGGCGAGGATTGGCTAAAGGCTGAAACAGCGAAGGCACTCGACGACCGAGGACGCTGGCCCGTTGACGAACTGGCAGACTGCCCCCAGACTTGTTGAAGGCCGCCGAGAGCTGCCTGCTTTGGCACCCTGGCGCCAGAGCGACAATCAGTCGTCTAAGGGCTCGTCGCTTCCTTCAGCCGGCTGGCGCCCAGCTCGTCGTGCGCATCTCCATGGCACAGGGAAAAAACGGCACGGGCACGATAGCGGAGGCGGAGCTGGACCCAGACTTGCTCCGCTTCTTGCAGAGAGACCCGTGCTGGCAGAACTTGGCCGAGGAGCGCCTGGACACGGGGGCAACCGTCTCCAAATGCGCCCGAGGCGACGAGGCGGCAAAAGGCGTGAAAACAGAGGTCGCAGGCATCGTGGACGACGGAAGCCCCCCGAAGTGCCGCAGCCTCAACAAGGACGGGAATTTGCAGATCGCCCCCTCGCCCCACATGGCCGCCTTCGCGCGAGCGCTGCGGAAGAAGATGCGCCCGCGGCTGCAACAGCTGGGAGACAACATGCGCGAGGCTGTCAAAGCCGACGGCATGCCACCTGCCGTCGTCGAGCAGAACGGAAAGCCCATCATGGCAGAGCACTTCGCCGACAACGCGTTCGCGCACGAATCGATCCAGCTCATGCAACCAGGCGCACGGGACGATGGTTGGCACACAGATGGCGGATGCTCCCTGTTGCGCGCGGCCGTGACGATTTTCGGGGCGCGCTCCGTGCAAGTGAGGATCCCAGGGGTCCTGGGAGCACAGGATGGGGCGTCACCCTCGAGCGCAGCCTCCTGCGGAAGGGTCGTCACCCTCGAGCAAAAGCCTGGGTCCTTCTACATGGGCACCCTGTCCTCCCTCGAGCACAACGTGCACCGCCACGCCTCCGCGGACTGCCAGGGCTGTTTCGCGACCCACCGCGAGCTGCAACAGCGCGTAGACGACAGCAGGCTGCAGATCGCCGTCATGATCCGCTCCGACGTCTTTCGGGAGTTCAGGGCGCGCAGGATCGACGCCGCGCCTGGCCCGAAGGAGTTCTTCAACGTCGTGAACCACGTCGTGGCCGATCACCTGGCGCGGGTCCCCGTGGCGCTGCCCGACCTCACGGAGGTGCTTGACGAAATGCGGTGGCCCGACCTCACGGAGGTGCTTGACGAAATGGGGCTTTCCGATCAGTACTCAGCACGGCCCGCGCAGTCCGAAATCATCATCTTCATCGCCATCATCATCGCAATCGTCGACTTCATCATCATCGTTATCACCATCATCATCAGCATCAACATGTTCACGTCGCCATCATCGTCATGCGGGTATTGATTTAATCATCATCATCACTACTTGATGATGACGATGACGAGGAGATGATGATGGATATTATGATGATGACGATGATGAGGAGATGATGATGATGATGATGGCGATGACGCGGACGATGATGAATATCATGACGACGATGATGACGATGATGATGAAAATGATGCAAAAACAGGTTGAGTCGGTTGGGTCCGAAAACTTCGCCTTAAATCAAACCAGTTACGTTCTGAGAACATTGTTTTTGTTCTTAGATCTTTTCTGAGTAAGAGAATTTCGTGGTAGGACTGTAGGAATGCCGGGACGGTCGGTACCTGATCAAACACCAGTCACTGAGCTCGAAGCAACGCTGGTCACCGAGCGCGTTCGACGACTCGCAAAGTGCAGACACGCCGGTCGTTGGTATTGTGAAGGTCTTACAACCGGTGCCGCCGACCCTGGAAGAAGACCCCGCGATGAAGGTGACAGCCAGAGTTGCCCGGGAAAATTGAGACCAGGCCCCGAAGAGTTCCCTTGAGGTCCCGTGAGGTTCCGAAGAAGCATTCGACGAGGAGTACAGTTTGGCCAAGCTATCTGCAGCGGCAGTCGTCCGGGATTGCGGTTCCCATAATTATCCCAGTGCGACCCTACCTAGGAGTTGGAACCCCTAGGAAAGCAGCATTAGGAGTAACAGTAACTTTAAGCTAAAGCTAAGCTAAAGCTAAGCCACAGCTAAGCTAAAACTAAGCTAAAGCTAAGCTAAAGCTGAGCAGCAACTAAGCTAAATCGAAGCTACCGCTAAGCTAAATATATGCTAAAGCCAAGCTAAAGCTAAGCTAGAACAAGCTACAGCTAAGCTACAGTTAAGCTACAGCTAAGCTAAAGCTAAGCTAAAGCTGAGCTAAATCTAAGCTAAACGCTAAGCGAAAAGCTAAGCGAACCGCTAAGCTAAAGCTAATCTACAGCTAAGCTAAAGCTAAGCTAAAGCTAAGCTAAAGCTAAAGCTAAAGCTCCCAGGGGACTGGGGGGAACCGCTCCCAGGGGACTGGGGGAACCGCATGGGGCGCTTTCCACTGCCCGGCCCCTTTAAGCTAAGAGAGTAAGAACCTTTCTAGGCAGAGCCTGGGTAGGGAATTAAAGTTTCAAGGAAACGCAATTGTGGCAATTTTCTGTTTTTTGAAGAAACTTTCGTTTCCCATAATTCGCAGGCCATCTGCAGCCGCATGGGAAGAAAGAGGGGGGAATCAGGAGAGGGAGGAGGAGGAGGAGGAGGAGGAGCAGCAGCAGGAGGAGGAGGAGGAGGAGGAGGAGGCGGAGGCGGCGGCGGCGGCCGCGGCAGCGGCGGCGGAACTGCGCATGGACTCCGTGCGCCTGGAAGCAGGCAGAGCGATCGGATCGTTACCCAAATTTCTGAAGGCTTTAGCCCCAGGCTTAGGGGAGAGGCCCCGACCGAGCGTGCCGGGCGAAGCACGCCTAGGGGAGTGGCGAGCACAGCCGAGGCACTAGGCGCTTATCACGCTTATTCTTCGTCACCTAGATCGAGGCTGAGCTCCTTGAAGAGGGCCTAAGCCTTCCTCTCCAGGGCTCCCCGGGGGCTTAGCCGAAGTACTGCTTGCATGTCATGCCCTTGAGGTGTTTGATCACGATATTCTCCCAAACAACGTATTGTGGATGCGGACGAACGAGACGCTTCACTTGGTTGGAGTTGTACATCTTCTGCAACTTGCAACACGTGACGGCTTCTTGGAGCTCGTCGTTTGCAGGGCCGCCTTTGAGATTTTTGGGCGGCGGGTTGGCCGCAAGGAAGGTCCAGATCTTCTCGAGATCTGCCCGTCCGAGATGCTCTGGCGTACACGCTTCAATCAGCAACGTGATGAATGCCCATGGGTCTGGGCCGCCCTCACCGTGGTGGAGGAGGAGGAGGAGGAGGTTTGAGAGGAGCAGGAGGAGGAGGAGGGCAAAAAGGACGAGGAGGAGGAGGAGGAGACACCTTTGGAGCCTTTTCGGGGCTCTGGGAGCCCCCCCAGGCTTCATGGCGGCCGCTTGCCGCCATCTGGGACCGTGTTGGAGGTATTTGGGGGCCTTCTTTTGTCAGACGGGGTCATCTTCGCCATCTTTAATGGCCTCCTGAGTCGTCTTGGCGGCAATGCAGCGCCATCCTGACCATCTGAGAGTCGAGCCTGGTCGTCTCTCGGATAATTCAGTGGGAGCCCTCTGCGGGCACTCTTGGAGCGCTCGGGCGATTTCAGGCTCCTCATGAACTAGGTGGTCCACGGCCCACCCGCCACCGTGCACTGGTATGATACTGTTGGGGACCTTCTGGGAACCCTCTTTGAGTTTTCTCCCGGCTCTCTTGGAGGCTTCTTGGAGCTCTCTCCGGGCTTTTGGAGTACCAAAAAGACTTCAAGAGGGCCCCAAATGACGCCAAGAGGCTTTCAAAGGCCTCGAGAGCCCCATGAGACAGCCCGCAACAGTCTCATACCAAAGGCTCCTGGCATGATACTGTTGAGGGTTTGCTTGGAATTCTGTAGAGGCCCTCTTCTCTGGGGGCTCTCATGGGACGCTCGGGCGATTTCAGGCCCCTCTTGGATTATCGAAGACGCTTACGGCGAATCACCGCCGCCCCCTGCCTTTGTGGAAGCGCCTATGTGGCCGAACGTTGAGGCCAGAACTGCCAAGCCATCGGACCATGTGTTCCCCGAATCGGTTTGGAAAGCCTTCGGGGAACACGTGGGCATCTTGAAGGTCATCTTGGCCGTCTTGGAGGCCTCTTGGGCAAGCTTTCGGCGATCTTTGGGGGCTCTTGGGCCGTCTCGGGCCGTCGGAAGGCCGAAAAGAAGGAAATGTCAGAATCTGTCAGAAACCCCAGGAAAATCAATGTTTTTGGCTTCTGGCCTTCCTGGAGGCCCTCGTGGGGGCCTCTTGGGCCGTCTTGGGCCAGCTTCGAGCCAACTTCGGCCATCTTGGTGGGTTCCTGGCACGTCTGACGCCGTCGGAAGCCGTTTGGGGGGCCTTTATGGGCCGACTTGGGGCCCTCTTGGAATGCTCCAGGGCCGTCTTGGAGGCCATCTTGGGCGTCTTGGAGGCCATCTTGGGCGTGTTGGAGGCCTCTTGGGCCGTCTTGGGGCCCTCTTGGGGCCATCTTGGAGGCCACTTGGGCCGTCATGGGGCCCTCTTGGGGGCCTCTTGGGCGATCTTGGGGGCTTCTTGGGCCGTCTTGAGCCGTCGGAAAGCCGAAAAGGCGCAAATACCAAAATCCTTCAAAAACCTAAGGAACATCAAAGATTTTGGCCTCTTCGGGCCCTCCTGGAGGACCTCTTGGAAGCCTCTTGTGCCGTCTGGGAGGCCTCTGGGGGGCTCTTGGGCCGACTTGGACTCTCTTGGGCCGTCTTGGAGGCCGTCTTGGACCATCTTGGGCTGACTTGGAGGCCATCTTGGGCCATCTTCGCGATTGTTTGAGGATGTCCCGAGCGAAACTGCCGTTTTTAGAGCCGTCTTGGGCAGGCAATTGGGGAATTCTGCGCCTTCCGGGTGGCCGGCGGGACGGGCCGAAGCCCCAGGGGGAGTTCTTTTGGAAAAAGAGCAAAAACCAAAACCGAGAGGATTCGGCACGCCAGGCACCCCTGCGATGAATCGACAGGGGGCGGCGGATCCAGTGACCCGCGGCCCACCTCGCCACCGTGCCTGGGTAGTGGGTCAGAATCCTCATCGATGCTTCTTAGGATCTCTTCGGAGGGCTGTCGGGGGCCTCTGGAGGCAGTTTGGCGGCCGCTTGGGAGCCTATTTGGGAGCCTTTTGGGAGCGTCCTGGGGCTTCCAGGGGGCCTCTGGGGGGCCTCCTGCCTACCGCCGACCTATGGGTGACGTATCACCGATTCCGGGTCGGCGGTTCTCCCCTTCAGAATATGGAGCGAGTCCGAAGTTTTCCGCATGTTCGGCCTGTGGGAGGCCGGGCGTCGGGCCGCGGGGCTGTGAGCAAAACAGCTCGGGACGAACAGCCGGTCCCAGGGCGGGGAGGGGTCGAGCGGGAGCAAGGAAAGCGATATCACCTCCAGCGTTAAAATCTCCGCACCTCATACAGCAGGCTCCCCGAAACGAATTTCTTTTGCAGCCAGAAACTCTGACCCCCGGGGGGAAAGATATCACAAAATATGGACAAATATCAAACAATATGATAAAATGCATAAAAACATATATATTTAGCTATTTTAACTATTTTAAACTATTTTTTGCTATTTCAACAGAAATTATCAAACAATATTATAAACTATATAAAACATATGTTTTAAGCTATATATATATAATATATATATATATATATATATATATATATATATATATATATATATACATATATATATATATATATATATATATATATCGAGAGCTTATTTGTATTATTATTCTTGTATACTTGGAAGCGCTTTCCGTTTTCATTAGCGCTATTGTTTTGCTGGACGACATTCTCATTTGCATTAGCGCTTTATGTTTTTATTAGCGTTATTGTCTTTGCTGGATGATATTGAGGCAGCCCGCGCGGAAATTCATCATAGTTTGTATGCGTTCGAATAAATATACAAATCAGGAGACCATGTGCGGGCCAGGGACATGCCAGGTACCGCTTCCAATATATGCGGGTGACGTGCGCAACCTCCTTGTGGCCCGAGCGACCGCCAGCCGAACCAAACGAAAAGTGCAAATTCAAATGCGCGATCGCCGAGGGGGGACCGACGCTTCTGGGAAACGAGTGAGCGCGCCAACGAGCCATCACGCTTGACCACGCGACGTGGACGGAGGTTCCTCGGAAGCGCATCTTCGTCGTGGGGGTCGCGGAGCGTGCTGGCGGGTGTCGCGCTGCGGATTGGCTGCAGGAGAAGATATTGCAGGTGTCCAACCTTCGATCTCGCACCAAGCCCACTGGGGCGTGGGACATCGTCCCGCCTGCCGACTCGACGGAGATGGCTCTCCTTTCCAAATTCAAGGTCGCAGGGGTGTGGGCAAAACGCGACTCCCCCCTCCCCCTCCCCCTTCCCTCCTCGCCGCCCGCTCCTCTCTGACCGCCGCCGCTGCCTTCCCTTTTTTATTCACCCCGGCCCTCGGAGGAGAGCCCCCTGCGACGCTGGAATTTCGTTTTCGGGGGGGCGAATATTTCATCGCCACGGCCGGGCACGCCACAGAAAATGGTTGCGTTTGGACCCGACGGGGGGGGGGGCGCGGGACCGATTTTGATTGTCCAGTGTCTCGAGGCAGTATGCTCGGACCCCCGCCTTCCAGAGAGCCCCGCCGCTCCCAAGCCGGGCCCGCTCGCGTCAGCCCCCCCAGGGTGCAGCGGCGGCCTCTGGCGGCCAGAAGCGGCGGAAAAAAATAACCCATCTGCATGGAGTTGCGCAGATCGCAATTGTGAGTGTCGCATTCAGCGGGCCCCCCATGGGGCCACGAAGCGTGCGCGGGGCAACCAAAGAGGGCTGGTTGCGGCGTGGGGCTTTCCCATCGGTGGCGCTCTCTAGGGGGCCGGGGAACGTGTGCGGGGTGTGCCCGATTGGGGCGGCGGCGGCATGCTGCCCGTCCAACTGGCGCCTTCGATGGGGTTCCCTCTTGGTGCTTCGCACCGTGTGCGCCCTTTCCGCCGGGGTCCCCGGTGGTGCCCCCCATCGGGGCCAAGCAACTTGTGAGGGGTGTGCCAAAATGGGCTGGCGACTGCATGCAAGTTTCTCACTTGAGCCTTCAGTGACTTCAGTGGGGTTCCACGTGGGCCCATAGAACAGGCCAAGGGCCAAGGGCATGCCAGGTGGCATGCGGCCCAGTCCAAGTGGGGGTTTCGGTGAGGCTCCTTATGGGGCGACGAAATTTGTGCGTGTGTGTGTGTGTGTGTGTGTGTCTTGTGTGTGTGTGTGTGCGTGTCTGCGTGTGTGTGTGTATGTGTGTCCGCGCCCGCATTCCGACGACACTGCGCGCTCGCATGTCCGTTGAGGAAAATTGTGTGTGTATGTGTGTGTGTGTGTGTGTGTGTGTGTGTGCCAAAGTGGGCTGGCTGTCGCAAGCGGCCTCTCCCATTGGGGCTTATGGCTTATGGTGGGGTTCCCTATCGGGCCATGAGACGTGCGAGGGGTGTGTCACATTGGGTTGGCGGCGGCATGCGCATTTTCCACTGGGGCTTTGGGTGGGGCTCTTTGTGGGGCCACGAAACGCGCGAGGGGCGTGCCAAAGTAGGCTGCTGGCGGCGGCGTGCGGCCTTTCCTTTGAGGGCCTTCGTTGGAACTCCCTGCGGCGCTACGGGCCCACGTAATTTGTGGGGGTTGTGCCAATGTGGATTGGCGGCGGCATGCGGCGTTTCCCACTGGGGGTTCCAGTGGCGCTCCCTATTGGGGCCGCGCAACATGTGAGGGGCGTGCCAAAATTGACCTTCGGCGGCGCGCGGCCTCTCCCATTGGGCTTCTCCCATTTGGTTTTTCGGTGGAGCTACCTGTCGGGCCGCGAAACTTGCGAGGGGGCGCGACAAAGCGGAGTGGCGGAGGCATGGGGCCTATCGCCTATCCCACTTTGTTAAGAGGTCGCGATTTGGGGTCGCGAATATGGGGCGCGGATTTCAAAAGGAACTTCGATGATTCTCAGCGCGTCCCACGGCTCGGCCTGGGATTTTGCAATGATTTTTCAGAATACCTCAGGTTTCCAGGGTCCCGTCAGGACCCCAAGCCTTCCAAGGAATTTATTAGGTTTCCGAAGTGCGTCCAGCATCCTGACGATTTCGGAGGGGTACTCGGGATGCCCTATGCTTCCTAAGAACCATGTGGATGCTTGCGAATTACAGCAGTTTTCCGACGTTCATGACTTCTCAGGATGCCCGCGGTGACGGAAGGAGCCCTGAAGAGCCTGATTGCTTCGGAATGTGTTGAACCTAAAGATCAAAATTCAGTCCGATACTTGTTCCAGTTACCCGCAGATGGTTGGGGGGGTCCGAAAAATCATTGCTTCCAAAGGGTTCAAGACAATTTCCTGTCGGTTCCTGAAGTTCCGCGAGGTTCGAAAAGGTCGTCGGGCTTGTCAGAATTCATATAGCGCGTTTAAGATTATCACGGGTTCCTCGGCGTGTCCTCATGATCTCAAAAAAAATGATTTCCAAACCGCAGGATTTCTGAGGATTTGAATGGGTTCAAAATAATTTGTCTGCTCCCCGCAGGATTCTTGCGGGCACCTTTGGGTTCCGCGGGAGTCGCAATTATCCTTCGGGCAGCATGGCGCTGCCCGGGGTTTCCGACGGATTTGCGGAGGCTCCCTGAACATGATTGTTGATTATCATGATTTTTCTGGTGCCGAAAAATCTGCCGGCTGCTAAAGAAAACTTGAAGATTCTCAACGGAGTCTCGGAGACCTTTGAGGATTTGTGGCTTTCCCAATGCCCCCCCGAGAAGAAGCCCGGGATATTTTCAGGAATTCCTGAGGACCCTCCGGTTTCGGGTGGAGATCACGATTTCACCGGGAAGCGCATGGTTCTTGCAGGGGCCTCCCGATTCCTTTGGCTTTCGATTCGTTTTGAAATTTTCCGACAGATGCTTATGACATATGGATTCTTCAGGATTCTGACGGTTCCTCGGCGCGGCGACCCCCCCCCCCGGGCGCTTGCTGGCGCGGCTGATCCCGCGACGGCGGAGCTCGCGGGCGCGGCCGCGCCCGCCGCGCCCCCTCCTGTCTAGCACGTGGGCGCGCCCCATTCCCGTGCCTGCCCGGCTGCGCCCCGCCCTGTCAAGCGCGCGGGCGCGGCCGCGCCCGCGCCCTCAGACTCTGAGCCTCAGGCGCGCGGGCGCGGCGGGCCGCGTTCTCCAAGACGCGCGGGCGCGGGCGCGGCGAAGGGCGAAGATGCCAGGGGCCAGGGGCGCGTGGCGCGGCGTGGCGGAGCCTCTTCAAATGCGCGGGCGCGCCCGGGCCGCCGTTCTCCAGGCGCCCCGCGCGGCCGCGGGGGGACGTGTAAAACGCGCGGGCGCGCCCAGGCCGAGCGCCGTCAAACGCGCGCGCGCGGGCGGTTGCCTCACCCAGAGGATCCAATCCGACAATTTGGGTCTATCCCTACAATTCTGCGTTGTTTCAGGGATGTTTTATGTTTTCCCGAAATACATGTTCGTCGGCGCGATGCTCCCGAATAGGACTTCCGGAGTCCCGCTTTGTTTTTTCCGGAAACATGTGGCCCCTACACACATATGTATATATATATATATATATGTGTTTATATACATATACATATATATATATATATATGTACATATATATATGTATGTATATATATGTGTATACATATATATATATGTGTATATACGTATATGTGTTTATACACATATATGCATATTCTACGCCCCTACATATACACATACATACTTGTATATATGTACCGTTATGTGTATATATTGTGTGTATGTGTATACATGTAAATCTAATGTAAATCTATGTATACATTTACATATGCATATGCATATGCATGCACGTGTATGTGTACTTGCAGCGTACAAACATACATACACACACATACATACATACGTACACATACACATGCATACGTATACACTTACATACATGCATGCATGCATACATACAAACATACATGTGTATACATACAGGCGCATACATGTATGTATGTACATGTACAACAGTTGTGCACTTATGCATACATACATGCATACGCATACATATATATATATATATATATGTGTGTGTGTATGCACATGTACACATGCAAATGTGTAAGCATATGTACACATCATATAGACCATCGTAACCGAGATTATCGCAACTGTGCGCGTATGATATAGTAAACCGCAACGTGTTATAATTAGATGGGGGTCGGGATTATAAGGGGAGGAGGGGGAGGAGCATCCTGACGGGAACAGCGTGGTCAAGTCTAGAACTGCTGACGCGCATCGTCGGGGAGGTCACGTATCCCGTTTGGTTCTCCCTCCCTTCTCCTCGTCCCCCCCATCACCCCTCCTGTTCCTTTCCATCTTTCGTCACCTGGAGTGTGATCGTCGGAATCCACATCATGGTCAACATCGCCATCATCATCGTGTTTTCCTCCCGCCTCGTTTTCCCATCTGCCTCTCCCGCCTCCTCTCATCCATCATCCCCATCATCCCTCCTGTGCGTGTATGCCTTGTTTTCCTCATCATCTAGAGTAACGGGATTACAAATCACTGGCTCGAGATCGCGACACCAGGCTGCTGAGACAAAGGGAGATGTTGCAAGGATGGGAGGGGGGAGACGTATGAGTATACCTGGAAGGGGGTGGTAACGGAGAACCGAAGCGATGAGGAGGTAGTTGGAGGTGGCGGAAGATGCGAGCGAGTGCACAACAGTTGGATGAACATGATATGGATGGCGATTGCGACCCATTATCCATCAGACTTCAGCGAACGAGTACCTGTACTTATCCACAAGGGCCGTATGCAGCGTGTTAGGATGCAGCCCCTCAGCAATCGCAGCACACACGCCGATGCCCGACTCATCAGCGTATTCCCAATGATCCTGATCGGAAGAATACACGCACTTGGCCGACACCATGTCCAATCATATGGTTCATGTGTCTGTCATTCGTGCGTCGTGCATGTGTGTGTGTGTGTGTTTGTGTGTGCGTGCGTGCGTGCGTGCGTGCGTGCGTGCGTGCGTGTGTCGTGGGGTCCCCTTCTTATGTTTGGGGGGGGATGGGGCACGCGCGTGGTCGACGCATTCGTGTTCAATACTGTGGCTGATGTGTATGTCGTGTGTGCGTCGTGCGTGTCGTTGGGCCCCCGCCATATATGTCGGGGTGGGGGGGGGGGGGCGCAAATGGCCGACGCAATTTTCAGTCAGGTGGTTGGATGGTCTGTCATTTGTGCGTCGCTTGTGACGCCGGGTCCCGTTCAATGTGTTTTTACGGGGGTGGGACGCGCAATTGGCCGACACAATTTTCAGTCATATGACAGATTTTTATGTCACGTCGCGTGCGTTGGGGGGGGGGGGGTCCCGTGGTTGGGGGATGAGGAAGAGGAGGGATGAGGTGAGACACCATGGTCCGTACGATACGTACCCTACATGGTCTCATTAGCTCACGGTGGTGATGTGCATTTGAGGGCGCGTATCGTAGGACTTCAGGTGGTGGAGGCGGGGGATAGGGATGCGTTCGCCCGTGTGATCCGCTGGGTTGCCAGGGGATGCCTCCTCAACTATCTCCAGGAATATATGATGTTTTGGTTTCAACCTCCAGCACATGGTGTCCAGGGCCTCGTACCCCATGGCCCTGTAGAGCAAGAGGTGCCTGCGACCAAACTCTGACAGTCGCTGAGGGCTCACGTCGCAGTCCCAGGCTGCCATCTCCTCGTAGCAGCGCGAGAGAAACTCTATGCAATTCAACCTACAGGCAAGCGCAACTGAAACCCGAGATGCCAGCAGAACTAGCACGCGAGGGGGCTCGAACTAAATCAACAGCCTGCACTTGGGTGTGGCACATTCCTGCCCCGCCCCACCTGGTGCGCGCACGAACGGAGTCGCACTTCACAAGGTGTCGCAGCAGATGTACGAGCACTGGAACCAGGTACCGACTCTCGGCCGCTTTGGACTTAAGTTTGGGAGCTTTCGTGGTCTTATTCCTGAACATGGTTACCGTCAGCTTATTGAACGGAGGGTCGGTACCGATCGAATGAGCAGAAATCGCAATCAAGTTGAGCAACTTGGTCTCTGCCTGTGGCCCCATGTTCACCCTCGCCTGTTGGCTGCGCCCCCCCCCTCACCCTCACCATCTTCCGTCCCTCGTGATCGTGCTTGTCATGGTCCTCCTCATCCTCCTCCTCCTCCTCCTCCTCCTCATCGTTGTTATTGTTTGAACATGCCCGTTGCCTCCGACGGCGTTGCACGCTTCCCGCCGAGTTCGAGAAACAGTTCCCACAATATGTTCCCACACGCTTCTTGTGCAACCCCGAGGCAACCTGCATGCATCATGCCTGGACGCAAGTAGTTCCAGGTAAACCCAGGAACCAGCATGGGGCTGAAATCCAAATCACCGTCCCCCTGTCGTGCAAGTTCCAAGTATCTCTTTGGGGTGTACAGGTCTCTACGCCAACCAGCGAAAAGATCAAAATTGGGAAGGTCGGCAACAGTGCACGGGCATCTAAAACAGATTTTGGCAGTACTCGGTCCACCCCGCCACCCCTGCACTCCGAACACTTGCTTGTACCAAGCCCAGTCCCCCCTGAAGTCGATCAATACACCCCTCACCTGCATGGCTTGTCCAGCTCTGGCCGAGCGGAGCTTGTCGCCGCGAAATGGCGACCTGGAAAAGGGGATCTGGTCGTGGCGCACGCTAGGCCATTTCCCAGTAAGCCAATAGCTGCACATCCACCCAAGCACCGCCCACACCTCGGGGTGCGTGCGGCGGGGATCGGATGTCTGGCGAGCGGGTGGTCAGTGGGGTTCCGTTCGCGTGCATGCACGCGCAACACAACCGACCACCATCATGCAAGCATATATGCTTGCACGCGTTTGCTTTGATGGAATCCGCTATAGTGGGCCCAACTCAAAACAACCGTGTGGTGGGATGATGGTGGTCGGGTGCGTTGCTACGCATGCCGATCGGATGCACCCGCGACCGAGCATTTCAAACACCGCACCTGCTTAAATGTGCATCTGCCATGGCATCCGCACTGGCAAACACTGCGCTGCCCAAAGCAGACGAACCACCATCGATCTCGGCACCTGTGGACTGGCATTGAGTGCGGAAGCAGGAAGGAGTTGGAGGCGGACTGTGGGGAGGAGGGGAGCGACGGGGGCGGAAGGAGATATGGAGGAGAGTGGGGATATATTTGCATACCCCCACCTCCCAGTCAGTGCCGTGAGGGTCCACAGGTAGACCGAGTCGCGGGTGTTGTATGGCGCGCCATCTCCCCATGAACCACATACTACGAGATTTGTCGGATCGACATCTGCGCCAATCCGCTCCAAGTACTCATGCACTGCTGGACGCAACGGCTCCTGATCGCAAATCCGACCCCGACGCAAACAACATAAAAATATGTCACGTGACAGATTTGTATGCCACCTTCATCCGTGAACCCACCCATTGGACGGATCATCTGCGTCACATCATCATCATCATCATCATCATCAGCAGCATCATCAGCAACATCATCAGTGCCATACACATCGTCACCACCATCAGCATGTTCGAACTCCAGAGCTCATCATCATCACCACCACCATCATCATCGTCATCTTCATCACCATCGTCGTCACCATCGTCGGCATCATTAGTCATCACCATCATCATCATCACAAGCATCATCCAGTCCACCCAACGTCGATCCCCATACGAGTCCTGACGCGGGTCGTAAGATGTCCAGTCTGATATTGCAGAGCCTGCCGAAATCTTCGCATCGAGCACCTCTGTCAGCAGCAAAAAATTCACAGTTCGAACTACTTGGGCACCAGCCCGTCGATCCCAAAGCGGTACGCGTGCCTGATACGGTGCTGGCATCCACGTTTTCTGGCGAGGGCGGTAACACATTGAAAGTTGATGTCACCCCACGCGGTCCAGGCAGTCGAGACTACAGTTGACACCGTAGCATCACTCAGCAATCCGATTGACTGAAACGCGTGGAGGTGGCCAGTCAGTCGGGGGAGGGGCATGGTTTTTATGTGTCAAGCAACTGTCCTTCTCGAGCTTCCTGCCCAAGTCCCTCAGCGCGTTCTGTCGTGTTGTTTTCTTAGCGCCGACTCGGCCCCACGACCCCAACGTATCGCACCGTACATCATCAGCCACGCTTGCACGTGCACCAGCGCCAACTTCGATCGAGCTGAGCCTGTTCCTAGCCCAGAGACGGTGCAGAAACTTGCTGGTCTCGCCTGAGTGCTGCTGCTGTCGATGATGCTTCCATCGCTGCCGCACTCCTGTCCGCTTGGGAGGCATGTGGGCTCCAAAACTGGGTCCTGATCCGAAACTGCGACATGTCCCGAGCGTGCGAATGCGAAATTCTAGAACGACCAGTGGCACGATTTGCGTTATATGATGTACATTGTTGTGCCCCTGCACGGACCCAGCACGTCACTGCGACACAGCAGTGTATAGAGAAACCCGTGCACGCAAAAAGTCGGCGTGTCGTCATCCCACCCCCCGAGTCCCAACACGGCCATAATTATCATCAGTGTCATTACTGACATCAGCATCATGATACTCGTCCCTCCCACCCATGCCATCGTACCACAAGCTGTCAGCGAGCAGAGGGCGGTGATGTCACCCGCCTTGCGTATATAAAATCGTACCTCGCCCGCGAGATACAGAACGCTGCAGCGCTGACCGCCGACGTGCGTGCATACACCGCGTCGGTCTGCAAAAGTAATGCAATCTTCCGGAGCCGCCGAGGGCCGACAACGACGACAGACGATGCAACGGACGAGGATTAAATAACGACGTCGGCTTCGCTGACGACGATCGACGCCGCCAACGAAGCCGACTACGGACGATTGGCGATGAACGATGGGCAACGTGCGGCGGAAATCAACGGGCGACCGATTGTTGGTTTCTGGTGTACATGGTAGATGCGCATTACTTTTGCAGGGAGTGAAAGGCCTAGCTGGCGACCTCTGAGAGCTTCTTGAAATCGTTCCAGCAGTTGCGCTCGAAGGATTTCCAGGCGGCCTCGACCATGGCGAGCTCCGCCTTCACCTTCGAAGTGTGCTGAGAGATCTCGTCCTTCGTGAGCACTGCCTTGCTCGGACAAACCAATCAATGACGATGGGGAGCGAGATGGGGAGATGGATGAGCACGAGGAGGTTGATGAGGAGGAGGGACAAAGGAGGAGGAGGACCAGGAGGATGAGGAGGGACACGAGGAGGATGCGGAGCACTACACATTGAAGCTAGAGGAGGGGCATGAGGATGGATCGGGACGAGGAGGAATAGGATGCTGAGGAGGAGCGAGATGGGTAGTCGTTAACAGTTACATTATGGCGGTGCTTAAGAGCTCACCACGTCGCGCAACGCGATTCCCATGCAATGATTGCACCGATCGGTCCCCGAGGTCATCGCGCGCGAAGCGCTGTCATCTCCGCGCCACCGCGCCGTCGGATGCCCACGCCTCAGGGATGAGGATGATAAGGATGATATCGATGAGGATGGGGAGGAGGTATATACGGAGGAGGAGGAACAGGATACTGGCGACGGGAATGTAGCTTGAAACGCACGGCCCCGCGCCTTGGATCCAGGCTTGTTCGCGAGCACACCCCGCACGAACGTGGTGATGAGCTCCGTCACCTGTGTGGACCCTATAGCACACTTTCCTCATGCCGCCGAGGACTGCAGCCCGAGAGGGCAAACCATGTTCTCGGTGGCATGGGGGAAGTTGAGCAGTGTCGCCCGTTGGGGACACCAAGACAATGAAACCATGCGTGTTAGGTCAACCTGTGTGGCAATGCCACTGTTATGGTTTCGTGATATTCTCGGTGCACCTTCTTGCTCTCGGACTCGATGAAGTGGCCCGTCTCCTCGGGGTAGCCGCGCGCAGCGAGGACCTTCCCGACGTTCGGCACGTCGGTCTCGCATACCGAGCGGTAGGCGATGGTCTTGTTCCGGGCGTCGCGGAACGTTTTCTCCATCTTCTTCCTATCATCATTGAGCTCCATCTGGTCGGCGCGCTTCTTCTTCTCAGCGATCTGATCCTCGATGGGCAAGTCCTTGATGGAGCCGAGGAAGGCCTCCTCGTCATCCCTGGCCTTCTTCTCCTCATCCGCCTTCCTGGCCTCCTCCTTCTCCTTCTTGATACGTGCTCGCTCCGCTTTCTGAGCGACCTTGTCGTCATGCTGAGGAGGATTCTCCTGCGCTGAGATGCCGCCGCTGATCAAGCCGCTGCTGTCGCTTGAGCTGCCAGTCATGGCATTGGTCCACCCGTCGAGGCCTTTGAGCATCTCCTGGGCTAGAGTATACCGGATGCGGGTGGGGGTGGGGGCCAAGTGGGAACCTTTCCAGACCATGGAAGACCGTTGGGCTTCGAGACGATTGGAGCACAGATCTCATAAGGAATCATGTGCTGCCTACTCCCTCACGCTGTGCATAACGCCCCACAAGGCCATTATGAAGCAACACCTGCCAGGAATAGCCATCGGTCGCAGACACATGGAGCGAACCTTAGAAAACAAATCAGTCGCCCCCATCTGTCGATGATAAAGTCAGGTGGACGGGGTGGGTGGGTGGGAGGGTGGGTGCGTTGAATTGGTATGACGTGGCGGGTGACGCCATCTTCATCCTCCGCAGTCTTGCCATGCTCGTCAGCATCACCATCATCATCAGCAACATCAACAACACCAGCATCATCATCGTCACCATCATCCTCATCATCAACAGCATCATCATCATCATCAACAGCACCCAACATCATCGCCATCCTCATAATCATCATCATCAGCTTCATTATCATCATCATCATCATCATCATCATTATCATTGTCATTGTCATCATCACCAGCCGCATCATCATCAACATCACCATCATCACCACCAAAACTATCAGCATACACATCATCAAACTCACCGTTGTCATCTTCATCAGCACCATCGCCATCATCGTCATTATAATCATCGTCATCACCACCACCATCACCATCATCATCATCATCATCATCATCAGCATCAGCATCGTCATCGTCGTCATCATCATCATCACCACCAGCATCATCATCATCAGCAGTATCAGTATCATCTACATCCGCATCACTTCCCACATATTCGGTTGCCCTGTTCGGTCCGCAGCAGCGGACTTCGCGTCGTCGATCTCCAGCCCCGAGCTCTGCTCCACGATGGACGTGTGCTTCGTCTTGTCCTGGACGACTCCCTCCGCGTCCACGACGTAGTGGTACTCCAAGACCCCGTTGTCGCGCAGGATGCTGGATCCGATTGTTGGTGCGTTTGTCGTGCTGTGCTCGCACCGCACACATCAGCCACTATTTCAGTTCCACCCCAGCCCACCCTCATCCCCGCATATGGGAGTGGGGGGCAGCGGATGGGGATGGTGAGGATGCGGGGACGGGATGGATGCGAATTGAGAGTATGATGGGGAGGTGTAGGAGGAGGGGCATGACAGGGATGTGGAAGGGGATGAGGTGGAGGGGGATGCGGAGGATGACGAGGGCATCATATGCGGTGACAGCGCGCACGCAAACACAACAACAAAGGGGTCTCCGCGAGCGCTTGTGCGGCCGCGAGGGCAGCTCCATCTTGAGCATGGCAGCGTTCTCCTCGGGCGAACACGTGCCCGCAGACCCCGTCGCACCCCGACATCGAATCGCTGCGCGCGTCTGATCGCTCGTCGTCGCTCCGATGTCCGTTGCCGAAGCTTCTGGATGGCGGCTCGAAGAGCCAGCGTCGATGTTGGCGGTTGCAGCAGTCGAAGCCCCCTCGCCCCTCCCTAACGGCGAGGTGCCGATACGCGAGGGGGGCGTCGTCCGATGGCATTCTGGAATACATGGTTTCGGGGCAGGGGTGTTGCTGAGGATGGCGGGGGCGCGGGGGGGGGGACGGGGCTGGAGCGACCGCGCATTAAAGAGCCACACCGCTCCTTCGAATTCAAGTACTTGGGCCCCGCCAGCTCCTCCTCCGTGAGCCACACGTCGATCGCGCCGTCGGTGCGCTCGCGGGACGTCGATGTGATGGTCCTGTGGGGTATGGATGTCACCGATTCCAACCACAGGAGGAGGCGGCCCGACGTGGTGCAATGAGGGGGGGGGGAGGATGAGGAGGAGAGGAGGAGGCGGAGGAGAATGCGGAGGAGGTGGGTCCGAGGACGGCGGGTTGTCTGGCTCCACACCAGTGCCAGTATCCCAGATCGGAGCTGCATCCTCACCGCTCCCGCTCCAATCAGCCATCCCACCCATGTACTCCCATGCACACCCATGTACTATTCGCCCGAGTCCTAACCCTACATCATGCCAGCTTTGCCATCCGCATCATCGGTCTACTCGATCATCCCACCACGACCCAGATGATGGAGGGGGGTGAACGTCCGTTCCCCCGCACACCATGTCACATTCCCACTTCGCATCGACATCGGCATCGTCGTCGCCCCCACCATCATCACCAGCCTCACCAGCATCAGTTTCATCGTGATCACTAGTATCGTCACGACCAACATTCGCATCATCATAATCATCATCATCATCATCATCGCCATCATCATCATCCTCATCCTCATCCTCACCATCATCATCATCATCATCATCATCATTATAAACCTCATCATCATCATCATCATCATCACCATCCAACATCATCAGCATACGCATCACCACTGTCATCAACGTAATCATTCACATCATCATCGTAATCGATACCAACATCATCATCATAATCAGCATCATCATCATCATGCACATCGTACTCACACTCTAGATCTTCCAACCCACGATATAGTTTGAATGTCCCAAGTCGGTCTTCGCGATGCAGCCGCCCTCCGATGGCTCGATGACGAAGCGCATCAGCCACTGCAACTGTGTGAGAACGCCAACGGGGGTGGGAGGTGAGCATTCTATGTACGCACATATCTATATGCGCCACCTCCCCCATACAGATATGGGGAAGGTGACTGGGAATCGCGACGGATGACGAGAACGAATGCGATGCGAAACAGGAGGGCGGAGTGAGTGAGAGATGAAGGGCGATGCGAAGCGATGGAGGGATGTATAGTGCGAGAGAGGAGGGAGGGTGGGAGGGCGGGAGGGTGGAAGTGAATGATGAGGTGACGGACAGAGTAAGGATACCCGACGATGTGAGAATGACAAGGGAAATGAGGGACAGGGCGAAGTGATATCCATATGGCGAGGGTTCGGAGGAGTCGGCCGAGGGGGAGGCCGCGGAGTGAATGAGGAGGGTGATGATATGATGATGGGGAGGGCGCGCCGACAGAAAAATCTGTCGAATGACAGATTTTTCTGTCAGTCGTTCCTCTCTGATTGTGCCACCTTCGCCTGGTCGTTCTGGGCGGTCTGGCTGTACTGGTCGTGGCGCGCGGGGGACTGCGTGCGCAAGAAGTAGCTCATCGCGCTGAAGAGGGGCTTCTTCTCGTTGCTGTTCATGTTGCCCAGCATCTCCTCCAGCTTCTGCTTGTTGGTGCCGCACTTGGCCCAGAGCTCCCGGATGGCCTTCGGCGGCGGCGCCTCGATCTTGGTCGCGAGATCCAGCTCGCGCTGCCGCTCCTTCTCCTCGGCGGCCTTCTTCTCGGCGTCGAGCCTCGCCTGCTTGCGCTTGCCGACGCTCCCCTCCGCCTTCGCCTCGGCCTTCCGCTTCGGCGGCATGGCGGTGCCAGACTGCCGAGGCTGTGGCGGCCCAATCTCTGGTCGGGCTGCTCAACGACGGCGGCGGATGGGGGACGCAACGCGAATCGGGTCGACACTTGTGCGAGAGGCAGGAGGGTGGTGGGGAGGATGGGGGGGGTGGGGGGGGTGCACAGGGACGATGTAAGTGGGAAGGGGGTGGAGCGTTGGAGCTCAGCATTAATTCCTGCTTACACCCCCCGTCGTACACGATTCTTACCGCAGCGTAGCGCCCCCCTGATACATGTATCAGGGGGTCGCTACGCTGCCCTGACAAGGTATTGGCTTCAGACTATGGTGTTCATGGTCGGGGTCGGGGTCCAGGGGTGGGTGGTCGGGGCGGATTGGTCAGACAACTTTTCACTAGTGTCGAACACGTGCACCACCACAACTA